TGTAGTAGGTGTCCTGTGGGATCCAGTGCCACAGCCTCCCCTATCACCCAAGCTGGGTACTCAAGGTGTGCCCTTCATGTGGGCTGAGTACCCCCTCCTCTTATAGCTGAGTCTTGGTTGCTGTTGGCAGGCCAATGGGAGGGATTTACCTAGGCCATTCAGGTGCAAGTACTGACTGTAACTGCTAACCACCAACCTCCCCCCTCTGTGGAGGATCAGCTGTGCAGGGTCAGGGTGGTAGTGCTGTGACATGGTCTGTAGCCGTCCATTGGGTGTGCAGGCCCTGGGGTTTCCCAGGTGCTGCAGGCCAAAGGCAGCCCCCACCTGTGTTCTACCTGTGGCCACCTGCATGACCTGTATAGAAATTTGAGATGGCTACTGTTTGTACTGGGCTTGGAGATTACCAGGCAAAGCCAAACTGTTAATCTAGGCTGGCTGCTGCTAGTGCCAGGCCTGGGGCCACTTAAGAGGTATGAGGGCTGGGGGCTCAGTGAGGCTGGCTGTTGCTTGTTTGAGAGGATTTAGGAAGTTGTGAGCATGAGCCAAGACCAGCCATTCATATGCAAAAGTCACAGTTAATAGTTTGGGTAGGCCTGTAAATTGAGTGGAGTGGAATCTCAGGGAATCACCAGGGTGGGGCAAACAGTGTTAGTCAGGTTGATAGTGTCTCAGATATGGCACCTGCCTGCTGGTGCTGTGGGCCTGTGGGCAGAAGGCTCAGAAAAAGGGACAGTGGCTTCTTGCTTTTCTGTCTGGGAAAAAGTTGTCCCCTAGCTCCTGCCTTGATGCTAAACACTTCAGTTCTTCTCTGTATGCCACTGGTGTCGTTCAAGCTGTTACCCTGGTGCTAGAGCTCAGAGGGAATGAATCTAAATCCATGTGTGTGTGTTTAAGGAGAACTGCTTGGTGTAAGGATGGGCTGGGTAGGACAAAATGGCACCTGGACTACAATCAATCATGGCGGCTGAACTATAACCCGGAAGAGATGGTGACGTCAAATCAGAGCAGGAGAAGAGCCACCAATTATGGGTTGCCACTTTGTTTGGAGGGAACCAATCCCCAGCCCCCATGAAGAGGGCTGACCAGAATAAAATCCCGCCTTGTTCCTGCCACTGTGCGGGCGGAGAAAACGGAGAAAACGTCGCCCGGGAGCACAAACCCCCAAAATAAGGCTCTTCTGCCTAATTTTGTGGCTAATTGGAATTTATTCCTCAGGAGAATCTAAGGAAACCTTACACTTGGGACTCCAGGAGTTTCTTCCATCAACTCAATCCCTGTTGGGTTTTGCAGCCAGAAGCTATGGGGACTTACTTTCCTGGTACTGGAACGCTGTGCTGGGGTTCATGGTGTGGGGCATGGGCTCTTCACTCCCAAGATATCCCTCCCAAATTTTTATCTACCATATGTGGTTGTGGGACCAGCTCATTCTGCATCTCTGCCCTCCTATCAGTCTGGATGGATGTGATTTCTTTAATTCCATAGTTGTCAGACTTGCATTCAACTTGAATTATAATGGTTCTGAGTGATGGTTGTTATATATTTTAGTTGAAATTTTGATGTGGTTGTGCAAGGAGGCAAGTCGTGTTTACTTATGTCTCATCTTGAATGGAAGTCTCAGAAGTCTTTTATAAGAGTTTATTTGAGCCAAATTGAGGACATATGCCAGGGAGCAAGATCTCAAATACTCCCAATATGTGTATATTTATTGTCATTTCATTCTTTATCATTATGTTTCTATTTTCTTCTTTTTATATTAACATTTTAATTGTTGTTATTCTTTTACCTTTTTTATTGAATTTATTGTGGTGACATTGGTTAATAAAATTATATGTCAGGTGTATAATTCTATAATACATTTGTATATTGCACTGCATGTTCACCACCAAAATTTCCTTCTTTTTCTAATAGAAGACCCTTTAACATTTTTTTTTGCAATACTGGTTTGTTGGTGATTAACTCTTTTAGTTTTTTATTATCTGGGATGGTATTTCTCCTTCAGTTTTAAATGATAGCCCTCCTGAGTAGAGTAGTCTTGGTTGTATTAAATTTTGGCCAATATTTTCTTCTGAGAAATCTGGGGACAGACTTATGTGGGTCTCCTGCAGGTAACTAAGTGCTTTTCTCTCACTGCTTTTAAGATTCTCTCTTTGTCTTTACCTTTGTCATTGTAATTATTATGTTGTCTTGGTGTGAGCTTCTTTGGGTTCATCTTCTTTGGGACTCTATGTGGTTCCTGGAATTGTGTGTCTTTTTCATTCACCATGTTAGGGAAGTTTTCTTTTCTTTCGATTTAATCTTTATTGTATTTTTGCCCTTACCATTTAGTCCTCTTATGCCCCCCTGAGTATATCTGCACTGGCTGGTGTAGCTCAGTGGATTGAGCACAGACGTGAGAACCAAAGGATTGCCAGTTCGATTCCTAGTCAGGGCACATGCCTGGATTGCCAGCCAGGTTCACAGTTGGGGACGTGTGGGAGGCAACCACACACTGATGTTTTTCTCCTTCTCTTTCTCCTTCCCTTTCCCTCTTTCTAAAAAATAAATAAATAAAATATTTGAAAAAATAAAATTGTTTTTTTTCTTTTTGCTGTGCCAATTGGGTGTTTCTCCTACCTTGTCTTCAAAATCACTGATTCAGTCCCCTGCTTCATTTAATCTGTTCTTTATCCCTTCTAATGTCTTCTTTATTTCAGATACTGTATACTTCATTTCTGACTTGTCCTTTTTTATGTTCTGTGTCATTTTTATGCTGTTGAATTTCTCACTAAGTTCTTTGAGCATCCTTAGAACTATTGTTTTGAACTCTGTATCTGGTAGATTGCTTGCCTCCATTTCTTTTAGTTATTTTTCTAAAAATTTTTTGTGTTCTTTCATTGGGAACATGAGTCTTTGTCTTCCCATCTTGTCTGAGTCTCTATTTATTTTTATGTATTAGGTAGATCTGCTACATCTCCCAGTCTTTGCACAGTGGTCTTATGTAGTAGGGGCTCATTGGTGTAGTCTCCCTTATTTTCTGATCCAGGTGATCCAGGAATATCTCTTATGTGAACCCTCCTGTTGTATTTGAATCTTGATTGCTGTTGATTCAGTAGACTTCTTAAATAAAAACAAGAATGTGTCACCGCTCTGTCTCTGCTTTAATCTGACATTGATCTTATTGACTATTTAATGTTGAAACCTTGACTAGAAATGTGGTTTCTAATTATAATGTTGTACCGAAGAGGATACTGGAGCTTTTTTTTTTTGGCATCTTTAATATTGATTCATTAATCTATTCAGCCATTATTTATTAAAAGGCTTATATATGCCAGGTATTATGCTGAACAAGATTACTGATTTATTATAAAAGGGTTTAACTCAGGAATAGCCAAACAAAGAGGTGCAGAGGGCAAGGTAGTAGGAAGGGGCATAGAATTTCCATGCCCTCTGCAGATGCACCACTCTCCCTGCACCTCCACCTGTTCACCAACCAGAAGACTGTCAGCTACTCTTTATTAAGATGACTTCCAAGCTACTCTTCTCTTTCTCTCACTCCTTTTGAAAGAGATGTTATTAACCCAATTCAGGGTCTGGTAGAATTGATGTAGTCATGTAACATGTATGTGTAAAAGTCACGAGTTTCCAGGTTAACGCATCAAGGTTTCTTGTTTCCACTTCTATTTTTATTGTCTAAGTTGTGTATGTGCTTCTTTTTATCATTTTTAAGCAAAATTCATTAACCAGAACCAAAAAAAAATTGCTGTCAATCTCCAGGTAGATATATTAGAAAAAAGGACACTATGTTGTCAGATTTTTAGCACAGAGCAAAAAAATGGGACAAGTTTGACAAAGTCCATTCAAATGATCATTAAAAGAAGAATGTTTAAAGACTCAACAAAAATAGACCTGCAAATGAAGAAAAACAGGAGGTATGACTGATGAAGTATCCAAGGAAATAGCTTCTACAATACAGTTAAATTCCCTGTTTATTTTTAACCCCATTTTTCTGGCCTTTAAGTATTTATCATTGTGTACCCAAACTATCTTAATTTAATAACATTTCATGATTGATAGTCATGCTTTATAATTTCACCTTACCTTAGCATCTAGTACAAGTGCACACAGATGTTTGTTGGTAAGTAAAGACAAGTAGGCCTCACTTTGCACAAATGACATTCTGAATGAAAGTTTTGTATATATCACAATATGCCAGGAAGAAATGATTGTGAAAGGTAGACACAGCACATGAAAAAAGCCTGTGAAGCTGGAATCTAATCCCAATTCTACCACTAACTTGCTGTATGACCTTGAGCAAATTAGTTGATACTACTCTAATTCATTTTTCCCATCTTTAAAATGACACAGAAAATTAGATAATCCCTAAATTCTCTCTCATTTCTGATATTCTATGAAATCTTAGTTCAAACATAACAGCAATTAATATTCATTAAATACTTGCCTTGTGCCAGATACTATGCTAAACAGCATTTCCATGCATTAACTCATTTTAAATGTCAAGTAACCTTGTGAAGTAGGTACTGTTAGGGAAGTGAAGGATTGCACTAGGTCGCAAAATAGTGTGATTGGGCTTCTCACTGAGACAGTTTGACTTCAGAGCCAGCATGCAACCAACCTCTATACTATGTTACCTGTAAATATACAAAAGATGCTTGGTATTTAAAGATGTTCTATAGTGAATAGTTTGGAGAAATGCAAAGTCATCTCCTAATTTATTAGCTTTTAAATTCTTAAGTTTTAAGTGTTTTCATTTGCTATTTTATTTTAAATCAGGCTATACATGCATTTGTTTAATGAGTACCAATTCTTAATTACTCAAGGTTTAAGATAAAGAAGATAACAAAGAATGAAATTTAATCCTTCCCTTCCCTTATCTCATCAGGCTGATGATTTCCTAAAGTACCATTGACAAACTTGATTAAAAATAGTGCTATGGAAAAATGGATTAGAAAAATAATTTTTTTAAATACCACTAATTTTGTCCTTTTTCTCTCTTTTCACAGTCACTGTTTTGAGCTCAGCAGAAAAAGGTAAGAGGGTGTTGTGGATTGTATTGACAGCACTGTGTCCCCTTTTCTATCTAAAAGTGAATTAATTACATAAAGGCCTATAATTTGAGCAACTTTTCCAGGAATACACTGAGGTGAGTGGAAGTTAAGGATGATGGTTTTCAGGAAACTTACCTGGAGGTAGAGCAGAACATATTTTCTGTGGCCCCTTTGGCTATAGGACAAGAATTGAAAGTTACCAAGATTTATGACAACAAAGAGCATAGATAACCACTCTGTTGGCCATAGTACTTTGTTTTCCTAGGTACCTTGCCTTTTTACCCAATTCACTCCCACTTCAAGGGATGGAGTAAGGGCTCCACAGAGAGCTTCTAAGTCTTTTACTGTCACAGTTCCTATATAGTTATTGTACTCCTGTCCATTTTTCATTCCCATCTTGATCTTATCTGTGATTTATACTACCATTCCAATGAGATTGAGGTATTTTCCATTAAAAAATGTGTAAGCCAAGCATGAGTATTAACAAACCTTTAGCTTTACATTATTTTTTCAGGTATAATCATAAGTATTTATGTAGCTACTTTATATAGCCACTTTTAATTCTCATTCATGGATATTATTGTGATTCATTAACTATAAATCATTCATGTTGTGCTGTTTAGAACTCCAGTTTGCTATTACTCATTCAACAGAGGCATTGGCTATAGAGGCCACAGAGTTGTGGGAAGATAGTAGGTCATAATAGTTAAAAGTATGAGTTCTGGAGCCAAACTGTTTAAATTCAAATCCTGCCTTCAATACTTAGTAAATTATTGTACCCTCCTTTTGCTTATCTTATTCACGTGTAAAATAGAACTATTAACACTACCTAATTTATAAAGTTGTGAAAATTTAATGAGTTAATGCATGTAAAGCAAAACAGTGGTAAGTAAAGCACCTTAGGGTAAGTCCTGAGTTGCCTCTTATTCTTATGTATGGTTCTTAAGGTAAGAAAGCATATATAAAATAAATATTTTCTGCAATAAACTTTTAAAATAACTTATGTGGGGGTTTAGATGTTGTTCTACCATAATAGGAATAATGATAATAATATTGTTATTATTGAAAACCATGATTTACAAGCCCTGGCTGGCGTAGCTCAGTGGATTGAGCATGGGCTGTGAACCAAAGTGTCGCAGGTTCAATTCCCAGTCAGGGTACATGCCTGGGTTGCAGGCCATGACCCCCAGCAAGCGCACATTGATGTTTCTCTCTCTCTCTTTCTCCCTCCCTTCCCTCTCTAAGAAATAAATAAGTAAAATATTTTTTTTAATTTTAAAACAACAACAACAACAACAACAACAACAACAAACCCCCCATGATTTACTGTGCCAGGTATCCTGCTAAGATATATATCTTCGTTCAATATTTACATCAACACAATGATGTAGACACACTTATGTCCATTTTGTTGAGAAGGAAACTGAAGTTTAGAGAGGTTAAATAACATCCCAGGTAATATAATTAGTAAATAGTAGCATTTAAACCCAGAACTCTCTCACTTCAAATTCCATGCTCTTAAGCAAACCTGCACTTCTTTTTTACTTTTCAATCTACAACTCCCTTATTTGCTTACTTGAGCTTCATCCTCAAAAACCTGATGCTCATTTACTCTTTTTTCTAGTGTTCAAAGTACTATATCTTCATGTTTTGTGTCTTATGAGTAACTCAATCACACCAGTATAGATTGTCATTTGTAAACCCCACTGAGTTCAAAGCCTTCCTGGTAACATCAGTCTAGTTACAGAATTTGAGCTCTTCAGGAGATTATGTTGCCACAGTGTATAATTTTTAAGGTACCTTTTGACACTAGAATTCTGTGATCCCAAAGCACTTTTCACCTGATAGCTCTTGAATTTATCAATACAGTAAAATAAAAAATAAGATTAAATTTTTTTTTGCTTCTTCTCCATTGGGGCAAAATGGGACAAAATGCAAGATTTAGAGACAGAATATCTGGGTTGGTGTTCCAGCTCTAACATTTACTCTGTTAACTTTGGTAAGTAACTCAGCTTCCATGAACCTCAAATTCTGTAAAATGCTAGTTTAATAATATCTTACCGATTTCTTTTAAACTAGAGAGAGTAAATAAACGTATACAGCAGTAAAAGAAACTGCTTTGTAAATGTTAAGTATTAACAATCTCACTTGTAACATTTTTTATGTGTCAGGATTCTCAAAGACAGAGGAATTCATAAACTAAAATTAGATTCAATTGTAACCAGAAGGTTGAAAGTTAGACCTGTAAAGAACTTCTGACCACTAAGGCAGCTTACTAGGAGATGCTGTGGAACCTCCTTTTCAGAAAGTATCAGACACACAACTACCTGGCATGATTCAGTGAGTTTTGCCTAGAAGCACACTAGTAGGCCTAATGACTATCTGAGGTCTTTGCTAACCCTGTGCCTCTCTTGTGACTTGTTTCAAATTACAGTGCACTATTAAAGATGCAGTATAGCATATGACTGCCAGCAGGAACATTGTTTGGCATACACAAAGAAAATATAAGGGACAAAGAAATGAAAGCCTCAAACGCATAACCTTTTATTGTCTCCACAGCTCAAGAAAATTGTAGTTAAAACATACTGTAAAAGTCCCTCTGCCCCCCATTTTTTGTCTGCTCAGTGGTTCCTCTACTGGATTGAAGAATGTCTCTCCAAAATTAGTGTCCACCTAAAACCTGTGAATGTAAATTAATTTGGAAATAAGGTCTTTGTAGGTGTAATTAAGTTAAGTTGAAATCATACTGGATTTTGTGGGCCCTATTACTGGCATCCTTATAAGAAAAGGAAAAGGTGGATACATAGATAGATACAGAGAGAAGATGGCTATGTGAAAATAGAGGCAGAGTTTAGAGTTATGCAGCCACAAACCAAAGAACAAGAAGAATTTTCAGGAGCTACCAGAAGCTAAGAAGAGGCAAGGAAAGATCCTCCCCAGGAGCCTTCCAAGAGAGCATGACCTTGTCTACACCTTAATTTCCAACTTCTAGCCTCCAGCACTGTAAGAGAATAAATTTCTGCTTTTTAAGCCACCCAGATTGTGGTAATTTGTTATGACAGTCCTAGGAAACTAATATAGTACCTCATAAATTTTAATCTCTAATGTACTGTTAAGAACATTGTATCAGTAGCAAATGAGCACAGACTTGGGTGTCAGATATACCTGTGATCAAATCTTGATTTTGCCACTTAGTACATATATGACCATGGGGAACTTAACTTCACTAAGTTTCACTTTCTTTGTCTGTAAAATGGGGATAACAATACCTGCCTTTCATGGTTGTTTGGAGCATGAAATGAGATCATGTACAAGGTCTGTCCAGAAAGTGTCCGGGCATGTAATGTTAAAATGGAGACATTTATTGAAGAAGATAACAAGATATAAGAAACATTGTACATAGGACAAGGATGCCTCAGTCCCCTTCAAAGTAGGCACCTGGGGACCTCACACAGTTCTCCCAGCGTTTCTTCCACTGTTCAAAACACTCTGTAAAATCCTTTCAGTACTATGTAGAATAAGAGAGGTGAAAGCAGGCTTCCCTGTCTTGTTCTCTATCTTAAGGGGGAATGCTTCTAATTTTTGCCCGTTGAGTATGATATCGGCTGTGGTTTTGTCACATGTGGCCTTTATTAAGTTGAGGTGCAATCCCTCTATTCTCACTTCACTTAGAGTTTATATCATAAATGGGTGCTAGATTTCATCAAATGCTTTTTCTGCATCTACTGATATGATCATGAGGTTTTTATCCTTCATTTTGTTTATGTGGTGTATCACATTTATTGATTTGTGGATTATACCAACCTTGCATTCCCAGTATAAATCCCACTTGATCATGGTGTATGAACATCTTAATGTATTGCTGTATTCAGTTTGTTCATATTTTGTTGAGGGTTTTAGTATGAACGTTCATCAGGTATAATGATTTCTAATTTTCTTTCTTTGTCTGGTTTTGGAATTAGGATAATGCTGACATTGTAAAATGAGCTTGGGAGTCTTCTCTCTTCTTTAAGTTTTTGAAACAGTTTGAGAAGGAGAGGTGTTAGTTCTTATCTGAATGTTTGGTAAATTCACCTGTAATGTTATCCAATCCAGGGCTTTTGTTTGTTGAGAGGTTTTTTGATTACTGCTTCAGCTAAGCTAGTTATCTGTCTGTTCAGATTGTCTGATTCTTCCCAATTTAGTTTTGGAAGATTGTACATGTAGGAATTTATTCATTTCATCCAGATAGTCCAGTTGTTGGCATATAGTTGTTTGCAGTATTTTCTTACAATCCTTCCTATTTCTTTGGTGTCAGTTGTACTTCCACTCTTTTATTTCTGATTTTATTCATTTGGGTCCTCTCTCTTTTTTTCTTTATGTGTCTTGTTAAAAGTTTGCCAATCTTGTTTATCTTTTCAAAAAACCAGCTCTTGGATTCACTGATTTTTGTTATTGTTTCTTAGACTGTATTTCATTTATTTCTGGTCTGATATTTTCTTATTTCATTCCTTCTATTTCATTACTTCAGGCTTTGTTTTTTTTTTTTGTTTTAAGTATAAAGTTAGATTGTTTATGAGTTTTTTTTGTTTGTTTCTTGAGATAGGCTTATAATGCTATGAATTTCTCTCTTAGGACGGCTTTCCCTGTGTCCCACATATTTTCGGGTTGTTCTGTTTTCATTTTCATTTGTTTTAAATCATCTTTTGATTTCTACCTTTATCTCATTGTTAACCCATGCACTGTTTAGTAACATGTTATTTACCTTCCATGTCTTTGCATGTTTTTCAGTGTTCATCTTGTGATTGATTTCTAGTTTCATAGCATTGTGGTCAGAGAGGATGTTTGATATTATTTCAGTTTTCTTAGATTTATTGAGACTTGTTTTGTGTTCCAACATGTGATCTATCCTAAAAAACATCCCATATGCACTTGGAAAGAATGTGTATTCTGCCACTTTTGGATGAAATGTTCTGAAGATATCAATGAAATCCATTTGATTT